GGGGGGGGGGGGGGGTGGGCTTGGAGTTGGTGCTCCAGCCCACCTGCCTGCCCTGCGTAGATCCCAGGGCACCCCTTCCCCCTGCCCTCCCAGGGTGGAAGCACTGGTGGGAGCCACCCCTTCCCCTCCCCTCCCCTTCCCCTGCGAGCCACACCTCTGTCCCATGCCCCTGCCCCCCTGGGCAGTACCTACACCTGATCCCTCCCTCCCTTACTGCAGGGGACATTGATTTACCCCCCTACACCCCTCCCTTTCGAACTTACCAGCTGGAGGCAGCTCTCCATGCTGTTGGCTCTGCTTTGTGCTGTGCTGTGTCTGCACGCAGCATGGGCATTTATTGGCCAAATTATTGGACCGATATCCAATATAGGAAATTTTCTTTATATCAGTACCAATCCAATATCAGACCAATGTATCAGTGCACCTATAGCTGGTATGGTATAAGAAGTTAAAAAGTGTATACTAGAATTGTTGCAGTTCAGCCATTAGTCTGGCTGTGATTGGCTTAGACTGGCTAGTCCAGCTTTTGATTTTAATTGCAATAATCACTGGCATGTGGATTAGTAATTGACTTTATCCTAATGTAAACTTTCAAGTTTCTTTTGTTTTCTGAAACAGTGGCTAGGTGGCAGCAGAGAACAGAGGTTTAGGATTTGCTTTATAAGTAATATATAACTGGGTCGTATCTGACTAGTTTATACATATGAGTTTATCTGAAAAGTGGTGTGGAAGTTTGTTAGGTTCTTCCCCGCCCCACCCCCATGCTCTGCAGATTTTATATTTCAGTAAAACTAAACTGTTTGCAATACTGTAACCCTTTTTGGTGTGTATTTTAAGTAGACAGAAATGGGTAGATTTAAAAATAATCTCTGAGTAACTGTATGGGCAGCAAAAAATCTCAGAGAGTAAGTGGAAGGAAGAAAAAATGGGAAGAAAACATGGAGAATTTGTATAAAAGCTGATACTTAAAAGACACTTAAAAGAATTGAAGCTCAAGTGATTTTCAGTGGGAACCTTCCTGTTCCAAGAAAAGAAGGGGCAAGATAATGAAGATCAGATGGCTGAGTGACTGATAATGTCAAAAAGGCTTGGAGATTGTTTGGTTGTTAGCATGTATCCATGGTTACTCTAAAAGGAATAAGCTGCATTTGAGTAAGCAGGTAAATAGCCTTTCAGTATGAAGTTTGGCAGGATTGATAGGAGTTTAAAGTAGGAAACTAGGAGAAAAAATTAGGAGAAGCCCAAAAACTTCCATAAAGGGAATACATATATGACAAGAGGAAAACTGAGTTAATGAGAATTTCTTCAGGGAGAAAGGAACTCTAGAGACTGGAAGGGAAATAGATACTGGCACCATTGATAAAAGTAGGAACCAGGTGGGTATTTCTGTTGAACAACTGACTATACCTGTTCTAACTAGAAACTTGCGTGAAGTCAGGCAGAAACGATTAATATGCCTATACACTAATGTAAGTAAAATGGAGAAGCTGGACTCCTGCTGGGGGACATAAAAACAGATGTTATAGGAATAATACCAACTTCATAGAATGGTAATCGCTGGGGATCCTGGTTTTCTGTGTTTTAAAATCCTCTTATTCTCTTATAAAAATTCTCATATAAAAATCCCAAATTCTCTGATTAAAACACTCCAAATCCATATTTTTCTGCACTTAAAATGAAAAGCTACTATATATATATATATATATATATATATATATA